CTTCCTTCCTTCCTTCCTTCCTTCCTTCCTTCCTTCCTTCCTTCCTTCCTTCCTTCCTTCCTTCTTTGCTTTCTTCCATTTTTGGTGTTTAATTGGAAATAAGAATTTTTCCTGCCTAGGCTGGCTGGCTTTGAAGCTCAGTCTCCAGATCTCAGCCTCCTGAGTAATTAGGATTACAGGCCATGAGTATTCAGCTTGAAAATGCCATCTCTAAGCAGGAGCTTCTGATTAGTAAGGGATTGTGTTGTTTGTTTCTCACGGAGGTGACATGTGCCATGGGAATATTTCATGTTTTGCAGTCACACTACAGCTGTCAAATGTAGGGAGAATTCAAACGATGTAAATAGCCACTCCTAATCTTCACAATAGAACTCTATTTTTAAGCTTGTTTTTTTTTTCCCCTTGTATTTGTAGGGCCATGATACCACTGCAGCTGCAATAAATTGGACCTTATATCTTTTGGGTTATTATCCAGAAGTCCAGAAAAAAGTGGATAATGAATTGGATGAAATTTTTGGTATGTTTAGACTCTTTGTTAGTTTTGCTGGTTTTAGATCCTAAGCCCTTCCAAGCAAAGGTTATTCTTGTTCATTTAAAGACCATCAAGAGGTTCTACAGCTATAGTCATAAGCACAAAGGGGCCATGTAAGACCCCTTTCCCTTCTGCAAGCCCTTCAATAATCCCTAGCAGGCATTCAGCAGTCTTTTGGTAAGTGATTGCCTTGATCTAGACCATCCAAGGCACAAATCAAAGCGATTGCCTTCACCATCCAACTGGTTAATATGAAAAACAGGCACATGCATATAAAGAGTCCTGGGCTTTACCTATGAGTAGGTTGAAAAAAGGTGCAATTTGTGAGGTCAGAGAAGCAGGTAAAACTATTTCTAAAGGCAAAGGAATGCTCTTTCATATGCAACTGCCACTGACCACAAATTAAAGAGCAGCTGTGTGAGTTGATGAAAGGTAGATTTCTATTCCAAAGCAATCTGGAGGTACAGACCTAGGCTGATGCTAGTAGACATGTCCCAAGGCCTCAGATTTGCTCTTCCACATCTCCCAACTCTACCATCTCGTCTTTGCTTCTTGTTCTAAGCATCAGACTCATCTTCAGAGCATGAAGAAAGGGGATATAGGGTATATTGGATTCCTGCAGAAATTGTAACAAACTCCTCAAATAGTGAGGGTTAACACAACAGAAACATACTTTCTTGATAGTTTTGGATACCAGAAATCCAAATCAACATGTTGTCAAGAATGTGCTCTTTTAAAAAAAGAATCCATTGCTTGTTTCTTAAATTTCTGGTGACTGCCAGGATACTATGGCCTATGGGTACATCATTGCTTAAACCTCTGCCTCAGTCTTCACATTTCTGTGTGTGTGTGTGTGTGTGAGAGAGAGAGAGAGAGAGAGAGAGAGAGAGAGAGAGAGAGAGAGAGAGAGAGAGAGGGAGGGAGGGAGGGAGGGAGGGAGGAGAGAGATACTGGAGATTGCATTCAGAGTCCTACTGAATCATCCAGGAGAGTTTTCCAAGCTTACGACTTTTCCTAATATGAGTTTTTCCAAATAAGACAATATTTACAGATCCCAGGAATCAGAACCTGTTATCTTGGGGGCTCTTACAGGAGGAATCTCACCACTTTTATCCTTTATAAAACTATATGTCAGGCTGGGAAGGTGGCTCAGTGGTAGAGCACTTGCCTTGCATGCCTGAGGCCCTGGGTTCGATTCCTCAGCACCACATAAGCAAAAAGAAAAATGCTGGAAGTGGTGCAGTGGCTCAAGTGGTAGAGCTCTAGCCTTGAGCTGAAGAGCTGAGGGACAGCGCCCAGGCCCAGAGTTCAGGCCCCACGACTGGACACCCCCCCAAAAAAAAGTGTCACATGATTCCCCACAGTCAGAGCATGAGAAAACAAGTTGAATTGTCCAACCATCATTGTGGTATCTGATTCAATTTCATAAAGAAGTAGGAGCCAGGAACTGCTGGCTCATGCCAGCGATCTTAGCTACTTGGGAAGCTGACACTGCTAAGATCCATGGTTCAAGGCCAGCCTAGGCAGAAAAGTCTATTAGAACCCTTCTTAATTCATAGTTGGTAGTGGTGGCACATGCTGTCTTTCCATCCTAAATTACCTGGGAGGGTAAAATTGGGAGGATCATGGTTCCAGGTCACAGTTCCAGCCTGGGGAGGGGGTGTAATTGGGGCAGGCTCCCTCTGTGAAGATGGAGCTCAACAAAGCAGTGCAAGAAACAAGAAGCCTAAAACCGTTGGGTTGTGGTCCAGGTACACACCCTGACAGGAGGACAATGAGTCTATCTGAAAAATAAGCCAGTGAGAAGTAGAGTTGTCAGCATGAATATCTGCCTACCAAGCTTGAGATCCTGAGTTCAAATCCCATTACTGCCTTACCTCAACACACTTTCTCGTGTTCTCTCCAATTGCAATGGCTACACGATTTGCTAGTTTTCCCAATGCTCTTTAATCTTGCATAATTAGTAACACTATTTTTCTTACTACAATCACTGCTGTGTTCGTGTTTTCACTTACTGAGCACTTTGATAATTAGGTCCCAAAATTTTGGCTACTGAGTTGCAAGTATTGATCCCTTCTGTTGGTTTGATAATAAAAATGAATGGCACATAACATAAAAACAAACATTTGAATGTATATGTTTCAGCGACATTTAGTACAATTACAGTGTTGTGCAACTCTTATCTTTAATTCCCAGTATTTTCAGCACTCCAAAACAAACCCTTTACCTTGTGTCTCTCTCCTCCCTGTACCTTTGAATAACCACAAATTTGCTTTCTGTCTAGAAAGGGTATCGTACAATATGTGTGTATTTATATCTTTGATTATGCATAATATTTGACATTCTGATATAGTTTTTAATTTTTTTTGCCAGTCCTGAAACTCAAATGGGCTTGGGCACTGTCCCTGATCTCTTTTTAGCTCAAGGCTAGCACTCTACCACTTGAGCCACAGCGCCACTTCCAGTTTTCTGCGTGGTTTATTGGAGATAAGAATCTCACAGACGTTCCTGCTTGGGCTGGCTTTGAACCATGATCCTCAGATCCTAAGTAGCTAGGATTAAAGGCATCAGCCACCAGTGCCCTGCTGACTCTTGCCTTTTGTGCTAGGGCTAGCTTCACATCTTGATCCTCAGGATCTCAGCCTCCTGCATAGCTAGGATTATGGACATGATGCTGCCTACAGCCAGCTCATTTTCTCTTCCTATTCTGACTTTAAACCAGGGAAGTCTGATCGCCTTGCTACATTAGAAGACTTGAAAAAGCTTAAGTATCTCGAATGTGTCATTAAGGAGACTCTTCGTCTTTTTCCTTCTGTCCCTTTTTTTGCCCGGAAAATTACTGAGAACTGTGAAGTGGGTAAGTGTTCTATAATTACAGTAGTCTTGAGAGTGGATCCAATGTCCCATGTCTGTCTTGCACCTGTTTTATGACCTGTCCCCTCACTTCTTGACAGCGGGTTACAAGGTGTGGAAAGGCACGGAAGCAGTTATCATTCCCTATGCTTTGCATAGAGATCCTAAGCACTTCCCAGACCCTGAAGAATTCCGGCCAGAGCGATTCTTTCCTGAGAATTCCCAAGGACGTCATCCGTACTGCTATGTGCCCTTCTCTGCTGGACCTCGGAACTGTATAGGTTTGTATCCACATGACTATGCTTCACCTTCCAATCCCATGTGAGAGTAGGTTTCCAACAAGGCTTTCTTTGAGCTGTGGTTTTACATTTCTCATGTGTGAAAGTCTTAAAAATTGGGGCCCATCCACTTTACAGTATAGTTTTAAAATATTACTGTCAGAGTATAGTGCTTTGTTATGGCTGATCTAACAAAATAGTGTAGACAGGACAGGTTTACATTTCTTTATAGTCAGTATCAATAGATTTTGTTATTTATTTACTTATTTATTGGGGGGGTCTCTTAAGTTTATAGTCTTCACTTGGTCTTTGCTCTTTGTGTACCTGTGTTTAGTCAACTCTATCAGTATGTATTTGTCCCCACTTCATTTGACTTTAAGTTTAACCATTTAATGTTTATGTTCTCTTTTAAGACTGTATTTCTAACTATTGTCATAGAATGAAATACTCTGGTTCATGTTTTCCACTTAGGAATTTTGGATGTGGACACAAGTCCACTCATAAGAGAACATATAATCAATACTATAATAGTATTTTAAAATGTTGTAGGTATGAGACTAAAGAAGAATTATTGTAGTAGCAATTATATCAGTCAGGCATAACTTTATTTTTGTGCTTATTTTTAAGAGTTACACCATATAATGCCAAAACAAAGAATGCTTGCCATGTGGCTACTTAAAGTACCTAAGGACATGAGTGTACTTCACCATGTAGTATAAGCACTCACAGTAATTCTAGTATTTTATATTTTCTGTAAATGCTGACATTAGCCAATTGAGGCTAGATCTAGGTGTGTGAATCCGAAGTACATTGGTGAATTTATAGTAAATTAAAGAGCAAATGAAAAGCAACTTAACATAGTTATTTTCAGGCTTGAATGAGACTAAAATCCATCTGGGTGATAGCCATCCACAGGTATCTTCAGGGAACTGGTTTTTAGCATGGTCCTCCCATAGATACCAAGATGTTCAAATTCCTTCTACAAAATGTTGTAGTATTTATATATAACTTAATCCGTATTCCTGTGTGCTCTAGGTTGGTCTCTAGATTACTTACAATAGCTAATGAAAATGCAAATGCTATGCAAATAGTTGCTATACCACACTGTAGGGAAAATGACAACAAGAAAGCCTGCATGCGTTCAACACAGATGCATCTTTTCCCCAACTACTTTTGATCCCTGATAGGAGGAGTTGGCAGACAGAAAACTGATGGAGTGCAGGGTCCACTCTACTGGTAAAATAGAGATTCTTTGGCCCACCATAGTTAATCAAACACACTGAGTGAAAGCAGAAAAGGGTATGTAAAAAATCTTCCTTTTAAAAAACAGACAAAGTGGTTCTGACTGTTTTATGACCCATGTGAAGTTATAAAACTGCTCCTTCTTGTAAGAGTGGTTCTTCTTTCTCACATATGCTTATCTGTCATTGAAGTAATGGTTCTTATATTAATTTGAAGGTCAAAAGTTTGCTATGATGGAAGAAAAGACCATTCTTTCTTGTGTCCTGAGACACTTTTGGGTGGAATCGAACCAGAAAAGAGAAGAACTTGGCCTATCAGGAGATTTGATTCTTCGGCCAACGAATGGCATCTGGATCAAGCTAAAGAGGAGAAACACAGATAAATCTTAAAACCATGTTCCCAGGCTGTGCCAAGATAAAGTCATTCTGTAAGGGATACCTGATGGGAAATGTGTAGATCATGAATCTGGTACCCTGAATTTCCCGACCCCATTACTTTGTTGTTCTACTGCGCTTGGAATCTACTTTATCAAAGAGAAGGCTTTCGTACTTTTCTAAAAAAAATATTGTTGTAGATGTTATGTTACCCATGCTGTTGGAGTACAGTGAACTATTGAGGTACAGTCAGTACCCAAATAAACATTTATCCAGTTTCTCAAAAGAGAAACTCACAGGACAATCCCATTTAATTTGGTTGACTCAAAGGATGTAATTTAATTGCTGGTCCCAGGGCTTGAACTGGGACCAGCGCACAAAAATGGTGGCCTAGTCACTGTCCCTGAGCTTTGTTTGGCTGGAATCTTGTGCTTTAGCTCCCTTTATTGGCTTTTTGGTGATTAATTAGAGATAAGCATCTCACAGGCTTTCCTGCCCAAGGCTGGCTTCAAACCATAATCTTCAGACCTAAGCCTCCTGAGTTGCTAGGAATGTAGAGGTGAGTAGTTTGACTTAAGAGGCCTAGGTTTAAAAATTTTTATCAGTGGCAACAGTTATGGTAATCATCATTATGGGACTTTTCAGATTTTACTACATAGAGCAGATCATTTGCATGCTGACTTTCCTTTGTTTAATATGCCCTTGTAGTCTTCTTTTTATTATGACCTGCACTGAACAAGTTCCTTCTGACATTGTCCAGTCTCTCACAGTGCCTTACAAGTTTAATTCATAGATTTTGGAGTTAGAGTAGAACTTTTCTTCTTTTACTCTCATATTAAGAATAGCAAAGAAATTTCTACTCGAAGTCCAGCTAGAAGCTGGGACAGATCTAGAAATCAAGGTCTGTACTCTAGATCTCTCTACTACTTTCTGATGCATTTTCTATAATACACTATGGCCTTATAGATCTCGATCAACTATGATTAAATTGTGTTATTATAACTCAAGATTTCTGCCTGTTGTTTAGGCATATTTCTTTTGGAATTCTCCCACCTTCAAAAGAAAAAAAGAAGCATGATCTATGCTTAGTAAGCCAATAATAATCTACTTTCATTTAGGGCTAGACCTCTACTTAATTCAGTGTCGCAGAACCTATCTATCAAACTATTACATATGTCCTGAATTTAAATTTTGTATTTAATACCTCTATTTCTTACTGATTTTAAAACTTATTTTAATAAATAAATTTCACAAGATTGTTTTCAATTTTGTAATTTTATATCTGCATTAGCAGATAGAATAGACTGCTTTTCAGTGGATAGCAAAGAAATAAGTTATCAAACCACAGCCATCTGGCAAACACTATAGCCTGGTGCTTTAGGGGTGTGTGAGCAGCTGTATCTGCTTGTCTAATGATCTATAGAACTCCAATGAGAAAGTCTAATCCCTAAACAGATGCAGAAATAATCCAAGGACACATATGGGACGGATTCCTACAAATAGTTTACCTCTATATCTAGCAAATGAAAATATATTAAAATTCTCATCCCCACATGATTTTTGTATATTATAGAAATTAGTGGGCTTTTTAAATTGTTGTTTATTGTTTTGCTAGTCCTGGGGCTTAAACTTAGGCTGGACACTGTCCCTAAGCTTCTTTTGCTTAAGGCAAGTGCTCTACCGCTTGAGGCACAGCACCATTTCTGGCTTTTTTTTGAGTAGTTAATTGGAGATAAAGAGTCTCATGAAGACTTTTTTTTTTGTTTGGCCAGGGCTAGCTTTCAACTGTGATCCTCAAATCTCAGCCTCCAGAGTAGCCAGGATTATGGGCATAAGCCACCAGTGCCTAGCTAGAAATTAGTATTTCTTAATTTATGCCCTCATATTTATGCTTGCTAGTTTATTTTTAGTAAGCCTACATTAAGTATTAAATTAAATTGAAAATAAAACATTGTTCAATGTGTCTTTTAATCCAAGATCTTCATCTAGTCCTAAAATATTTTGATGCTCATATTTTAATGGCTATAATTCACTAAAACTATATCAGAATTGGAACTGAGAAGTTATGTTATGTCCTGTAGGGTCAAAATGCAGTGATTTTGTTTTTTAAAAAGAAAATGATCACATGATCAGTTTGTGTTTCCACTGCTTATTTTACTCCCTCTTAAAAGAACAATCGCAAGAAAAATGAATTTTATATTTAGATGCTTTATTTTATTCTAAAATTTTATTTCTGTTTGAAATAAAGGAATCATTAAAAGTAATTCACTGGGCACGGATTCAAAATTGGTGAAAAAACGTTTGAGATAATGTCATCACACTAGAGGAGAAGTGGAAATATCAGAGCTTCTTGCTCAGGAAATGAAATCTCCCAGGGTTACGTGGGTCTCATGGCTAGAAATCTGTTCATTGTTATTGCACTGGTAAGGCATCCACTGTCCTTTCAAATAACTGAGACAGGTCAATTTCTGGACCAACTCACCTATCTTAACAATTAAAGGTACTTGTCATAAAAGACCAGTTTTTATTTGAGAATATTTCTGGAAGGGTTAAAAAATCCTTCTATCCATCACCTAATGAGATACCCAATAGGTATGATTAATTATTATTGGTACTAGTTTGCCATATATATACATATATCTGCATATATATATATATATATATATATATATATATTTGGAATTATCTCTGTTAGTTTTTAGCAACTACTGTAGAGAAACAATTTGAAAGGATGAAAACAACACGGTTCACAGTTTTAGAGAAGATCTAGTCCCAGGTTGGATAGACCTATTGGGTGTGAGGACAGACAGAATATCATCCCAGCCAAGAAGGAGAGAAAGAGAAAAGGAAAAGGGAGAGGGAGAGGAGAGAGAGAGTGACAGAAAGAGAGATGAGACGGAATATATTGTTAGGAAAATCGAGGAGAAAGGAAGGAAACAGGCCCAGACTCCATCTTCACTTCTGGAGGCTTTTCACTTGGGCCCCAGATGGAATGTTTACAGCCAGGCTTAGCTGGATTGTCCTGCTGGAGTCAGGCTCTCTGCCTTTAACTTTGGTGGGTTACCTTTTATCTGCATGCACCTGGGAAAACAAGGTATACTCAATCCTTCCTCCATCTTTTAATACATAGAACAGGCCCAGAGGCAAGTCTTCATATATATCTGTTTTAGTGGGCTTCTGCCTCTTTCTCTTTATTGAGTCCAGATGCCCAGTCTAAGGAATGGCATCACCTATGTTCCTTAGTTAATTGTCTGAAAATTTCTTAACAAGCACTAATCTACTTATTTACTAATTTCCAAATCCACTAGATGACTCTTAATTCAATCACTTCAACAACCACAGCTCTCACAAGTTCACTCCTTGTCAATTTAACATGCAAACGTATCTTATTACACTGTTCTTAATCTCCAAATAAACATAGTGACAAGTTCACGATTTCACCTAATGTAACTTAACTATCCTGCATACAACCCAAGTTGCAATAATTCCTTTCCCAAGGTGTCAGCTTTTTCAGTTTTGCTCATAATCCCAAGCCCAAAGTCTTCTTTGAGTCTCAAGACAGTTTCTTAGCTGCAAGCCTCTGTAAAATCAAAAGAAATCTACTTGATTTCAATATTCTCAGCAAACAATGCTAACAAGTAAACATACCCATTGCAAAAAAAGAATGAAAAATACAGAAGAGACCAAAGGAAGTCCAAAGCCCAACAAGAAAACATTAAACCCATAGTTCCACAGCAGCAGTTTATGTACATTTAATAGGACGTAAGCTCCAAAGAGCTTGAGCACTCCTAGCTATAGCTTGCTATTTGCAGCCCACACAGACCTTCTCTCGGTTTGGTTCCATTTTTTGCTTACAGCTGTCCTTGGCAGACATTTCTGGAATCTCAAACTTACTGGAGCCACATTGCAGCTTTGCCCTGATAGCTTCATGCATCATACTTTCAAGAACTGAGTACAGAGATTCCAACACTCTCATATATTGCTTATCCTACCAGGCTTTTGAAATTATACTGGAAGCCTCCATGATGTTGTAACTCTTATATCTAAAAACTCTTATATACAAAACCAACTCTTATATACAAGACCAACTGCAGTGGTCTGTCAGTGCCCGGGCAGAGGGGCACCATAAAATGAGTCCTGGCAAAACAATTTCCTAGGCAGCCTGTGACCTGAAGTTCTCTCCCCAAGGAAAAGTCTTTCAAATACATTTGTTTTATATCCTTGAGTCAGTGATGGGTGATGCTCTCAAGACGCCTCTCTTACTAAAGCAATACAAAATACTTGGCTTATTTTTAAAGATGCTAGTCTCTTCAACAACCAGGCCTTCTTCCACCCAACATTACCTAAATTTTCTGACCAAGCCCAAAGTCTTAGTTCTCTGCTTGTTCCTTCCCATTTTTAATGTGAACCTGACTAAAAGTAATTGCATTGATGCCACAAGCTAAATGCTACATTGTCTTGAAACTTTCTCTGCAAAATTAGTTGATCCAGTATCTTTGAATTCCATTGATAAAATGTAGATAAGTTCTTTGCCAGAATATGACATATGTGGACACTAGTTCAATACAAAATATAATCCTAATATAATATAAAATATAATTCTAATTGGAAACCCCATATTTCTATCAGCATTATATTCTGAGCTCCCAACAAAGTACCCTGTGAGCAATTCTAGACTTTTCTCTCATCCTTGGGACTTCTCTGACTTCTTTTTTTTTTTTTTTTTTTTTGGGTCCGGTCGTGGGGCCTGAACTCCCTCAGCTCTTCAGCTCAAGGCTAGTGCTCTACCACTTGAGCCATAGTGCCACTTCCAGCTTTTTTCTTTTTGCTTATGTGGTGCTGAGGAATCGAACCCAGGGCCTCAGGCATGCAAGGCAAGCACTCTACCACTAAGCCACCTTCCCAACCCTTCTCTGACTTCTTAACAGCAGGAAGCTCTGCTTTTCAAAACTTCTATAAAGAGGTTAGGTCTAGCCTAAGTAATATCCCATGTTGACTAGTTCAAATGCAAATGAGCAGAAATCTTCAGCATGTCTATGGAATTGCTTTAATCATGTAACATAATCATGGGCAGACATGCTACCTCATTGTATTCTCAGTCCCCAACATTAACATGGGAAGTGTGGAAGAACATTTTTTTTTTAGAATTCCGCCTACCACTCCCACTTTTCAGTTTCATTCATCTAGCTCTCTCAAATTCACAATGGAATGTTTGGTTTCTTTTGAGTTGCTGGAACTCATTATTTCTTTCCTTGTAAGAAACCTTCAAACACAACACTAAAGTATCATTTAAGGAGATTTCAATCCCTAAGCTCACCTTTTAGGTAAACAACCCCTGAGAACTTCCTCAGAGCTATGAAGAAAGGGTGCCCTTGTTTGTCCCATTCATCTTTTCTCTTACTGAGTTGGCTTGCCAGCCTGATAACTCCAAAATTCATACTCTTTTATAGCACTCAGATCCAAGTGCTTTCTTTCTTTGTTTGCTGTTGTGCCAGTTAATACTCTAAAATTTAAAAGCAGCACAGCAGGTACATTTAAATAGGTAACTTTGTGTTAGCCCAGAATATTTATTGTCATCCAGCATTCCAGTAATATAAAGTTTATGAATCAACACTCTCCAAATATAAATTTACTAGTTAGAATGATGTTCTGTAATTCCAAAGAAGACCAACTGCAGGAGATCTATGGCCTCCAAATATTTCTGTAAAAACACAGGAAGGGACTGAATTATTTTGTGTATGTAATAGGTAAATCAAGGGCTGAAGGTTAGGAGCTGTAAGAAGGTGTATTTCAGTGCATTGTCAAACCAAGCAGCTGTAACAGAACAGCAAGCAAACAAAAACCAGATGAAATTTAAGCTTTAACATTAGAAACCTGGGCCGGGTGCCACTGGCTCATGCCTGTAATCCTAGCTACTCAGGAGGCTGAGATCTGAGGCTGAGATCAAAGCCAGCAGGGTCAGGAAAAGTCCAGGAGACTCTTATCTCCCATAAACCACTTAAAAACAGGAAGTGCGCTGTGGCTCAAGTGGTAAAGCACTAGCCTTGAGCTGAAGAGCTCAGGGAGAGTGGCCAGGGCCAGAGTTAAAGCCCCAAGACTGAAAAAAAAAATTAGAGTTAATTGTGTGGCCCTAAGGCAAATTACCCAGTTCTCCATGAGCTAAACTTTTGAATGTGTTTCCACATCTTTTTTGTTGTACAAATTACAAATGAACAATTTTCTGCATATATAATGTACAACATGTCTCGACACACAAATACACACAAATGATATCACCATCAAGTTCTTTAATATATCCATTATCTCTCATAATTTACATGTGCGTTAAGACTATAGATCTTCTCTTCAGAAATTAGCAATTTAAAAGATTTTTTTCAAGTTTTTTTATTACAAATCAACAAGGGTTTATCTCACAAAACATTGTTTTGCAGGATGAAGTGATTGTATGTATTAGAACCATGATAATGCAGCATATTTAGAAAGATGGCTGGCTTTATATATAAGGCCATAAGTTATAATACACTGTCGCATACTGGCTTTCTTTACACAGCGCAAACACTTGTCAGGAATGCAAACACAGAATGTAAAACAATGCCAATTCACAGATGATATATTATGTATGAGATGCTATGTGACTTGTTTCCTTTTACCAGCCAGCAAGCTGCCAGAACATGGCAGAAAAACACAATAATGTTCTGAGCAAGCTCTTCCATTTAGAACAAGCCCTTCCAGTTGAAATAAAATACTACAACTACAAAACATGTTCAGGAGGCCTCTGGCTGAAGGACAAGGCCTGACAGGTACCAGGATCACCTGATACTTGGGCTCATGGGGATTGGGTCTGTTACTGAGTCCACAGAGGCCATCCTGGCACTGGCGTTGCTTGATGTCGGCCAGCAGCTGGGATTGGAAGTAACAGACAAGCCTGGTCTAAAGTGGCTGATGTGATGCTAAGGTGTCCTGGGTTGGGCTTGATGCTGGGATCTGCAGTAATGTTGGGCAGTCACATCCCTCTCCTTCCTCCAGGCAGAAGATATCTCTGTGTCTTTCTATACTCTTTAATGTGTCTTTTCTTCTTTCAGGCACTGTTGCCTCTCACCTGGGTTCTTTCCTTCTTTGTGGAATGTCTTGGTGCAGGGAAAGTTGTTTAAGTTGATGTTTCTGCAAAGGAGCGAGTGCCTGGAATTCTTATTCTTCCATCGCTTCTATCATTCCCTGAAATGGTTAATATATTGGATGTCTGAACACAGATGTACATGGAGTATATTGACAGGACAAAAAGTTGAAACTGGTGGCAGAAAGCCAAAGTCAATATTGAAGCTAAGCAAATATGATCTGCAGGGCCATGATAAGGCAGCTTGAAAACTGTTCGTTTTTCATGGCAAGAGAGGCTCTCGGCTTCCAGAAGCAACTGGGCTTTCAGGTAGCAAATGTCTATTATTCTGATCATTCCCAAATACAGTGTTTTGTTTTGTTTTTTTTATTAAAAAATATTTGCCTTATGAAGAATCTGTTAGTTTATCTCTTTATTTCCTGAGTATTTAGCAATATTAGATGGAACTAATGTTCTCATAAGTGGAATTATCTAAATGTAAAATATTTGAAAGCCAAAGGTGATTTTTGACTGCTTTAAAATTAGACTTTTATGGGCTTGGATATTTTCAGAGGATTTATTTATGTAGGGATCTCCACATTTGCAATTATTTTATTTGCACTTAAATTGAGAGGTTTTATAACTGTTTAATCCCTCTGTCAATTTCTTTTCTAAAATTAATAGCAAAATAGATGGCTAATTAACAACAAATGCAATGCTAACAATTTCCATGTGTATCTTAGGAAGCATTATAAAATTGCAATTTCTACATACAAAATATACCAAGCACCCCTCTCTCACCCACCCTAAAAGCCACCCCAGTTTCCATACTAGTTATTTTGTGCTTTGGTTAGCAATATAGACATTTATAAGAAAATATGTACGTATATCTATTAAAGTAAGTCCCATGTTAAATACTGTCTAAATCCAGCAGAGTTATATATGTGTGTTTCTTTTTAGGATGTTTTCATTCAGCCAAGCTGCTCATTTTCTTTGTTTGTTTTCCACAGTTTCCTGTGGTAAGTGTATTAACTCTAACAGTTAAAGTTAATGGTGTGTGAGAGAGGAATTGTTAAGCAAAATTTACCACCTTGGAGAAAGTTACCAAGCATAAAGCTTTGGGAGAGGGAGGAAAGCTCTTGATGATTCAGATGTCATTTTAATGTTTCGAGGAAAAGAACTACTCTCCAGATGTATTGCTATAAACACATGTAATGACCAAGAGAAGAGCTCAGAAATCAAAATCCCTTAAGGCACGAGTTACCAAAAATGTGTTTGGAGAGGAGTTCCTGTAAAGCAGATTTCAAAACAGGCAGTCAGTGCTCAGTTTTTATTGCCAATACTTAAAAAGATTAACTTTACCTAAAAATTTAAAAGAGTACTAAGCATTTTATAGTGCCTAGGTTCAATAAAAATATCTGACAAGTACTGGGTATTTTTTATTTCAAGCTACTAGAACAATATTTCAAAAATGAAGGACCCTGGTTTAAATTTAACTTTGTTTGACCAGCCCTTTGATCGTCTACATGAATCCTTTTAAACAAAGGGGTTCAATCTTATTTCTTTCTCTTTTTACTCTATTAATTTTTAGAGAATAAGAATGAGTCAGTACACTGACTTTGATTAAGTAGAGAATGGGATTTCCTTATGGGCTACCACTATGAATAGGTTCTGGAGATTAGAGTTAAGATATGGTCAAACCACAATGATTGTTGTATGGCTAAAATCAATTCCTCTGGTTTACATTTATAAAGATATGTAATGTCTACAGGATAAAGCTTCTTTTTCCCTTTCCTTAAATTGCAAGTGCCCTTCATTTGTCACCTCTTCTTTAATGTTCTTCTATGCTACAATTATTACCACATAATTAACAGTTTTTGTTTTTTTTTGGTGTGTGTGTGTGTGTTTTTTTTTTTTTTTTTGGTTTGGCATGTAGTCACCTTACCAGACCCAGTATTCAAACTTTCTCCTGGAAAACTTCCTCCATCCAGTTTTGGTCTATATGGTTCTGATGATGTAGCTTTTGTGGTTGACAGTAGTGCTAGAAATTATACCCCAACAGACCAAAAAGCAGGAAGTGTATCCATCCTGCCTGATACAAAAACTCAAAGTCTTGTAAAACTATTTTTGCTTAGACTTTTAGAAATAGGACACTTAATTTTCTAATTTGAGTTGAACCATAAGAGAATACAAAGGCCTAAGCTATGAGTACTACCCACTTGTTATGTAGATCTTGAAACCAACGGTAGTACCATGGAACAAAATAAGTCAATGCAGAAAAATTGTTTGCTGTAGAGCACAGTGTTCTAGTACTGTGGACATCAGATTCATCATGGACTTTTTTGGCTTCTGAACCAAAAATTTCATCTGTGCGCAAGGCACTTTGGACTAGGTTTCTATCATTTGGAAACAAAAGCGGTACTATATCAACACTTATTATTTAGTTTTTAGTTTTAGTTTTGTTTTGTCTTTTTGGTCCATTGTGAGGCTTGAACTCTGGGCCTAGGCACTGTCCCTCAGCTCTTCAGGTCAAGGCTAGCACTCCCACAGTACCACTTCTGTTTTTCCAGTGGTTTATCAGAGATAACAGTCTCCTGGACTTTCCTACTTGGGCTGGTTTTGCATCATGATTCTCAGATTTCAGCCTCCTGAGTAGCTAGGATTACAGGTGTGAGCCACCAGTGCCTGGCTTTGGTTATTTAATTTTTAATTGCTGCTAATCTTATGGATAAAAATGACATCTTTTTATTTTATCATGTATGCATTTATGATTCTCACTGTTTTTCATATACTTATTTGTTGTATTTCTCTGGTAAATTATTTTTTCATATCTGTCATTAATTTAATATATTTTTCTTATTTCTTATTTAATATTAGTTTTTTCTTACTATTTTTGTACTGCTTTTCATATACTTTTTATTATATTTCTCTAGCAAATTAATTTTTCATATCTGTCACTAATTTAACATAGAGTATTTTTCTTCTTATTATTAATCATGTAGTTTTTAACAAGATCATATAACCTGCCCAGTATCCAAGGATATGGGGAGGGACGTGGAAAAATTGTGAAAGCCATAATCATTATGTGATAACTTCTGCTAAATTCTCTCTACTATACAATACAAAGCTAATACTGTCATTGACGTCATCATCATCATCATCATCATCATCATCACTACTTCTAATCATCCACCCTTTTCTATTATCTGAGTCACATGGCCAGCATTGGTACTGCCAGGCCGACATTGGTCATAGTTTGCACTGTGTGCATAGGCACTGGGGAGAGATGACTGCTTTGTAATTATGAAGCAGCCTCCAAATACTAATTATCTACAGATCACGTCTCTTTATAGTTAGTATTGTCACTGGGCCAACCACTCAATAGGTTATGTGAAATGCAGGTATACACATGAGGGAACTTGTATTCCCAGAAGTTTCTATCTGTGCTCTTTCCAAAATTAAATCTTACCAAGAGGTCAGGCAGCTGAAAGGGGCAACATTGAACAAAATCACTGTTTTCATATATTGCTTTGTTGAATGATAACTCCTTTGCACAACTTAAGGGTAATAAAAACACTAAATCACAACAACAACAAAGGAAGAGAAGCTGGTTTGGATCATCAAAATAGAATCTAGATCAAGATCCCCAGAGGGTTACAATAGTGCAGAAAAAAATACTAGTCTTTGGTGCTTAATGAAACGTGTCAACCAACCTGCCCATTTCCTAAAATTTAATATGAAAATTAGAAACCCATTAAGTTGAAATGTGACTACCACGCTAGCAATGTACATGGTTGTTATGAACTATCCCATGGTTAATGGACACATGGCTGACTAAAACACATGTACTCACTAAACTGCAAAGTTTATCAAATGGACATTGAATTGGGTCTTTCAAGACAAATTCAAATTCATATATTAAATCCAGTGAAGATAATTTTTCAATAATATGGGAGGTGCAAAGTATTTCAGAGTTGTAATTCCAAACAGCAAGCAAACATTATTTTTTTCAATTTAGCATAAGGATGCATTTGTTCAAGCTATCTAAGAAGTGAGTTTGGGATTAGGAGTGACATTTTAACATTTCTAGAAAAGGGGAAAAGGTTGGGAGGCAGATTAACTTGAGATTTTGTCTCATGTTTCTATGAAATATGTGAGTCTCTGAATGCCTTGAGATTCAGTCACTTGATTCTCTCTCTCTCTCTCTCTCTCTGTCTCTCTTTCTCTCATGTCTCTCTCACACACAGAATATTAGATAAAGGGGCTGGGAAGGTGGCTCAGTGGTAGAGCGCTTGCCTTGCATGCCTGAGGCCCTGGGTTCGATTCCTCAGCACCACATAAGCAAAAAGAAAAAAGTGGTAGAGCTCTAGCCTTGAGCTGAAGAGCTGAGGGACAGCGCCCAGGCCCAGAGTTCAGGCCCCACGACCGGACCCCCCCCCAAAAAAAAAGAATATTAGATAAAGATAATGAAGCCTGCCTCAAGCTTCCTTTACAAAGTGTGAGAATTTAGAGAGATATTTATTCTAAAAGTGTTTTGAATATAGATCAAACACCATTATCTTTAAGATATGATATTTTCATGTTAGACATCAAGCAGAAACAAAGTTATGATTATATTTATTGGGGATAATTTATGTGTAACTTATTATATGGTTAAAAACCAACTACATTTTTTATATAGAAGTACCATGAAATGACTTTAGAGTTGTATATTGTTCAAACAGTTGCCTTCATGTTTTTCATCCTGTCTCTATGATTAAAGTCACATAAAGGTCTTTAGATAGCCATTGGGAAATGCAAGATAGTAAGAATATAAATATATTTTTGTTAAAAAGTCATTCATATAAAAATTATATTAAGTTGAAGTAAGCCAGGCCCAAAGAAACATAGGTCCCATGGTTTCCCTTATTTGCAATATCTAGTATATGTTTGAGTCAAGCAGAAAAGGTCAGATAAGGTGATGGTAGGAAAATGAACCCTAACATATGTATTCAAATGTTTTTTTTCTTTCATGCGATTGTTTCTAACACATTTATAAGATTATTTCTTTGTTGCTTTGTATGTCCCTCCCCCACGGTATAACCCCTGCTTTCACTGTATTTCATGTCGGTATAACTTGTGGAGGGGAAGGGGAAAAACAAATCATTTAAATAGGGATACAGGTGGACCCATTGCAACAATGAGATATACAAGTCGTTATGTCGAAAACGAACTTTACAACTTTGGTGGGGGGGGAGTATTAGGTAGGGGGCAGGGAGGATGGGAAGGGATGGGAAGGGGAAACAAAGGAGGAGGTTACAATGCTTGATAAGAAATGTACTCATTATCTTGCCCTTGTAATTGTAACTCCTCTGTACAGTATTTTCACAATAAAAAAGTCATTCATATTCATTCCAGATCAACATTTTAACAATTGTATTGTAGGTTGTCTGACTCAACTATACAAAAACACCTTCTTCAGAGGTGGGGATGTGACCGCCTTGTACAGCCCAGATGCCCACCACTGTCAGATGGTGTGTACATTTCACCCCAGGTGTTTGCTCTTCAGCTTTCTCCCTTCAAGCTCAACCAAGGATCCCAAGAAAAGGTACAAGAGAGTTCATCACTAATTCAAATGGTCACTTTTCAAAGTAGTATCCATTGTATGTGAATTGCACACAGCTTTGTAGCATCTCTCAGGATTGTCTATGGTCAATGTGTTGTTCAACACTAATTCAGATATCTCTCCAATTGGATGAAAGTCATCCTATTAAAAGTTGATTCCAGGGTATGTAAACAATGAAGTTAACCTTACAGTTGACTTTTCAAATGGAAGGGAGCCTTGCAATAGACGGAGACTACAAGGAGTTACTAAGCAAGATGACCTTTATATATAGATCTCAACTTCATGACTAATTAAACTTTTTAAATAAACTACTTAAAAAATCTCAAGTTGAAAATTATTTCCTGAAAGTTAAGAAATGCTAGAACAATCTTCAATATGGTTGACTTTTGATACATATATATGTATATATTATTATATATAATAACATTATATATTACATATATTTATTTAAATGTGTTTATTGCTAGGTGCTGGTGGCTCATGTCTATAATCATTCTTACTCTGGAGGTTGAGATCTGAGGATTGCAGTTCAAAGCCAGTCCAAGACAGAATGTCCATGAGACTCTTATTACCAATTAACTACCAAAAAAAACCCTCCCAGAAATGAAACTGTGGCTCAAGTGGTAGAATGCTAGTCTTGAGTACAAAAGCTGAGTGTCAAGGTCCAGGTCTTGAGTTTTGGGCTCAGGACTGGAACACACACACACACACACACACACACACACACACACACACACACACACACACACACACACTGTCTAGAAAGAAAAACAATGCTGAGGTGAGGAGTTGCAGAAACTACTGGATGTTATGGAACTGATTCTAAGAATGTTTCTCTCACAAGTTGCTGTCTTATTCATGTTAATATATAGACAACACTAGGCATGTTCTAGATGCAGGTTCATTCTGCTTCCTAAGTGACTCCTGTTTTGAAAACAGGTTTGGTTGCTTCTTGAAAGACAGTGTGACTGGAGACCTGCCAAGAATGCGTCGAACAAATGCAATATCTGGATATTCCTTAAAACAATGTGGATATCAAATAAGTGGTAAGGGGTGGATTTCTTAGCTATATCTGAGTTCCTAATGGATTATCATGGAATAGTTTTTGCTCCAATGCTGGACTGCCATGGACTTTTGGAAGGGAGCAGCAAAAAAGATAAAACAGATGGAGTAGTGTTCTGGCTACGAATGTTGTCTTAATCAGTCAACATTCTTAATGAAGCTTATTTGCTTATTTATTTACTTGCCTATATTAGTTACTTGGAAGGGTGAATCTTGTGGTTACATTTCCACATTTGTTTACAATATATTTTGATCAGTTTCACCTGCTCTATCATCATCCCTGACCCTCTGAGGCTCTTATTATTCATGAAATTAGCACAGACTTCTAAGCTTTGCAAAAAATGAATTCATATGCAAGCAAAAGCTGCTGCTTGACTTGGTGCCCGGTAAGTCACTTCAAGAAAACTCAGGGAATCTCTCTTCCAAGTTCACTTGAGGGTAATTTGTGATTCTCAATCAGCAGCGCTTTGTCCTTCCCCTCCCAGAGAATATTTAGCAGTGTCTGGGGTCATTGGGGATTGTCACTGAGAGAGATGCTGCTGCTTTACATAGTCAGTTGAGACCAGAGCTGTCAACGAACATTCTAAAAGGCACAGAACCGTCCCCACAATAAAGAAATTTCTGGCCCAAAATGTCAGTGTAGTGCTGTCCACAAGGTTTTGGGAAAGCTTTTCGTGTATCAGCCAACCTGAAGGTTTGGGTTCTTTGAATCCTGCTGAGACTAATACTTGTTAGAAAAAAATCTGAAGGCTAGGATGACACATGTTGCTATAGATGGTACAGGAAATGTTTTCTACACTATCCTAAAAACCTAACACTAATTGACTATTTCTCTACAATGATGGGCTGATCAGAAAATAAAAAGGGTTACAAAAATTATCTCACTGGCTGAGCTGTATCCTTACTATTTTATCTTTACTATCTACAGTTAATTTTGTAGGGTAAAATTTCAGATACTTTCAATTTTTTTCATCAATACCACACAATCGATACACACAAATTTTAAACACATTCTGATTTTTAAATAGTTAATAATAAAGGATAGCAATGCCTGAGTAATAATATGGAGGCATGACTTAACCTAGTTAATCTGAGGTGAAGTAGATTAGAAAATCAAATTAATAAAAAAAATTAGTTAATAATAGGGATACAGGTGGACCCATTGCAACAATGAAATGTACAAGCCGTTATGTCAAAAACGAACTTTACAACTTTGGTGGGGGAGGTGGGGAGGTTTGGGTGGGGGGGGCGGGGGGAGGATGGAAAGGGATTGGAAGGGGAAACAAAGGAGGAGGCTACAATGCTTGATAAGAAATGTACTCATTATCTTGCCCATGTAATTGTAACCCCTCTGTACAGTATTTTCACACAAAAAAATTAGTTAATAAAATAGTACATAAATAAAATAAAATTTATATACTAATTCAACTTTGGTACAAGTTTTCAGTGAAATGTAAGTTCTCATTATCCTCTCTTTCAGCTAAATTTAAAGGGAAAAAATGTGCCATTCCCAATACTGCTAGTTATGGTTAATTTGTCCCCAAATTTAGTTTTACTCATTAAACTTGATTTGAAAGATTTTTTTCTAACTATCTCAGAATACCTTAGATTAAAATAAAATACAAATTCCAGGAAGAACATAAGGTCTCCAAGCTCAAGATGAATTTTAGTTAAAAACATGTAGATGTAGGTAAAGCTTTCAGTTAATCATAAAGAAAGAGTTTTGTTGTAAATATTTCTCCTATATCTTAGCCTATTCCTTTTCTTATCTGCAGCGAATTTGAAGAGTTTCCATTTCTATAATCAGCATATGTCCATGAACACCTCTGGGGATGACCCATTTATCCCAACTTCAATGTATTGTTTTACTTTTAACTTACATGTTTTTGGTCTCCTTATTCTTAAAATTAGTTTGACTAGTTGAAAGTAGAGAAATTAAGATAAAGAAGATTCTTCATCCAGTGGCACATGTCAAAGATTGTTTAATGAAATAATTCCATAGCACTCATGATCAATATCCTGGTTATTTGAGACTTGTATAAACATTTCTACTTCCCACTGATAATTCAACACAAAATGTGACCCGTATTGAGGTATACGCTTTGAAGTTTAGAAGTAGAACAATTCCTTTTTAATTCTAGCATTTAAGGTTCTGTGTTCATATGTGCGTGCATGTTGTGTGTGTGTGTGTGTGTGTGTGTGTGTGGTGTATTTCATGTAGAATTAAATCATTTAGGGTCATAATAAAAACATTAAGTCCCCAGTTAATACAGCAGTACCCCCAAAGTGGGATATAATGATTCAAAACTGCCTTGCCTTATTGGTGTTGATGATCCTCCTCTAGAAAGAAATTTGTCTGAATTTGCTCTGCATATTTCATTTATACAGCTTGCCACCGGAACATTTATGAAAACATTGACATGAGAGGGTCCAATTTCAATATATCTAAAGTTACAAGTCCTGAAGAATGCCAAAAACTGTGCACCAATAATATTCTCTGCCATTTTTTTACATATGCCACACAAACATTTCCCAATGCAGAGTATCGGTGAGTGAACCATGAGGTTTGTTCTTTGCCATTGGGTGGGGGTGGGAGGGCTCAATTTTGTGGGTTTTTTTGTGTATGACTTGTAACTTGTTTTTCTCCAATTAAAACCAAAGATTGAGTTCTAGTCACTTTGGTTATTTACTCAATTTTAATGGCATTTTTCCTGAAGAGATTAGAATCTACTGGACCCACAGGCTCTGTTTAGGAGTGGAGGTTTGGAATGATGCCTTCCACTTGTGGTTCTGGTGGCTTACAGCTGTAATCCTAGCTACTCAGGAGACTGAGGAATGAGGATCACCATTCAAAGCCAGCCCAGGCAGAATCCACGAGATTCTGATCTCCAAAAGGTTAAAAATGGAACAGTGACTCAAGTGGTAAAGTGTCAGCCTTGAATGAAAAAGCTAAAGGATTGCCCAGGCCCCTAGTTCAAGCCTCCGTACTGGCACATACAAACCAAAAAGACTCCTTCCACTCCACTCCATTCTTACCCTAACCCCTCCTCTGCAGGGGAATGGAGGAAAATGTCTGCCAGTTCATTATTCCCTTAACCTACATACTACCAGGTTCTTGTTTGCCTTGACATTTTAAAATGCCACTGCTTGTGGACCATATCAATGCCAAAAATTACCTGCGAAATTGCATGCATCTTAATAAATAGGAAGCAAAGTCTTCTCTTCTCTTCATATTCAGGAACAACTGCCTGTTAAAACACAGTCCAAGTGGTACGCCCATGAGTATAAAGGTGCTGGACAGTGTGGTGTCTGGATTCTCCCTGAAGCCTTGCGCACTTTCAGAAATCGGTAATTGGATGACTAGCACTTCACTGAGTTCAGTAGGCAGTGCAAGAGTTCCCCTGGGGAATGTGTTCATCTCTGAAGCCTGTGAGTCTGTTGGTGAGAGAGGTTATCAAGTGAAGGACTTTGAAATAAGCATTACTCTCTAAGACCTCAGTGTGCCAGTTCCAGTTGCAGATTTCTTATAAGAAAGGGGGGCTGGAGATAGAGAGGGAGGGAGGTAGAGAGGAAAAGAGAGATGGAGAGGGAGAGGGAGGCAGAAGGGTCAGAATCAGAGAGAGAGAGAGCTGAGGATGTTATGCTGCTAAAGATGGAGGAAGTGTCCCTAAGCAAGACTTGAGCAAAAGGTGACCTATGGAAGTTGAAAATAGCCAGGAAACATATTTCTATGGGGCCACCCAAAGGGACGAAACCTTGCTGCCATCTTGATGGTAGCCCATCAAGACCAATTGTGAACTTCTGATGTCTAGGAGTTGTGTTTTTTTAACTGTATTTTTTTTTTTGTCTTTTCTAGTTTGGTACTGGGGATCGAACCCAGGATGTTGCACTTGCTAGGCAAGCGCTTTGCCTCTGAGCTACATCCCATCCCTGATGTCTAGGAGTTCAAGATAATAAGTTTATGTTGTTTAAAGCCTCTCAGTTTATAATAATACCCCTCTAACAGCAGCAATAGGACACTAGTTCAATGAATTTATAGAGAAAATTGTTAAGGCCATATTTAGTGAAATGACTCTATCATGATGCATCCACAGAATTCCATTGTTTTAGACATATAAGTAATTTCAATTAGAATATCTAGACAGTTGCCATGAAAACCACTGCTACACAGTATGGTGTGCTAGCTCTTGCATTGGTTTCTGCATTAGGCCCTCTGTGTGGAAGATTGCAAAGTTCCAAACATCAGGTATCTTTTCCTATTTGACTCTTTTTCCTTCCCACACATCCTTTCTATGCTCTATGCCATATTTGTTGTTTCAAATATGTACTTTTAGATTCATATATGTTCTGGGAGAGTTTTTGAAGATACGACTATGAAGTAAGAGTGGTAATTCAGATGTATTCCCTTCTGTATGGAGCATTCGTTTTTGCTTATTTTTTCTGTTGCTCTAGCATAAAAGCCCCGAGACTAGATAATTTCTAAAGAAAGGACATTTATTCAGTTCTTGATTCTGGAGTCTGGGAAGTGACCATATCCAGAAAGGGCCTCCAGAGGCATTGTAACATGGGGAAAAGTGCAAAGGGAAGTAGACAGTTGTGGAAGAGCCAAAACCCAAGAGGAAGCTTTTCTTTGTAACAATCTTCTGCAGAGAAACTAATCCAGTACTATAGGAAAAACATTAATTCATTCACAGGGGGTCTGAAATTCACAATACTTCCCAAGAAGCCTCTCCTCCCAACAATCAACACACTGAGGACCAAATCTCACAAGAGTGCTGATTCAAAAGTAGCAACACTTGCTGATAGTGTTTGCTGTGATCACTAGAGACTGACAAGATTGTCAGCTGTTACTACATAATTGTTTTGAAGGGCTGCCATTAAATATGGGATTAGACTAGTCTAGGTGGTTCTATAGGTGAGCTTAAGATAGATACATGTGTGCAGAATACAAGAAAAAACTATCCCTACACCTTCATGGTCCAGAAAAGAAATGGACCTTGTCATGAGATAATGCATTCTTCATAACTACAAATATCTCAGTAAAGTTGTGAACAATCCGTTGGGTATCCCTGTGAATATGCAAATTATAGGCTGGCATCAGTGTCCCATGCACTCATTTCCAACTGTCAGGATCTGCGCATATCAGATTTTTTTCTTAATTTAGTTTGGTTTTTAAAATTATTATATTTAAGTAGTTGTACAGAAAGTTGCCCTTTAACAAGACAGTTGGTGAATATATCACCAATATATCATATCATCACCTTTCAACATTCTCATCCATCCATCTTTTACCCACCCCTTCCCTCACTCTTCTTAATTTTGTTGGTTATACATTGGTTATATTTGATTTTTTTTGGTCGGTAATGGGGTTTGAGCTCAGGGCCTGGGAGCTATTGCTGAGCTCTTGTGCACAAGGCTAGCACTCTATCACTTTGAGCCACACCTCCACTTCCAGTTTTCTGGTAGTTGAAAGTAAGAGTCTCATAGACTTTTGTTCTTGTTGGCTTCAAACCTCAATCCTCACATCTCAGTCTCCTGAGTAGCTAGGATTACAGGTATAAGTCAACAATGCCTGGCTTATATATTTGATTTTTCATTCAAGTAATTGATAATTTCAGAGACTGCTTACATGAAGGTATCATAGGAGATTCTCTCTGTCTCTCTGTTTATCTCTTTCTCTGTTTCTGTTCCTTTGTCTCTGTTTCTGTTTCTCTTTTTTCTCTTTCTTTATCTGTTTCTCCTCTGACTCTTTCAGTACAACTCTGTACATTTAACTTGTGACTACATTACATTCATTCTTCCCATAAACGCTATTATTATTTCTAAGCTTCCATAACCTTAATAGAACTATTGTTATCATATCAAGTTGAGTAAATAATATAAACACAAAAATAAATGAGAAATAACATTATGTCAGGAGAATGAAAGGAATTTTTTTTCCAGTTCTACTCTTAAGGAGACACATGGCATTTCTATCATCTACCTAGGATTTCTGTTGCTCTCCTTTTATTAAAAAGTTTTTCATAATATCTGAGAACATAGAACATAAACCTGTTAAATCACTGTCCCTAAAGCCAATTAAGGATGAGGGAGTAGGAGAAAAATACAAATATACACTGAGTAACCGAAATGTTTTGGGGAGGGGGGAAAGAGGAGCTGGGAGCAAAGATTATTACTCAATTTCTTTGATGGCATGGAATTTCTCTCTTATCAGCATTAGAATAGTGTTGCCTATCCCCAAAGGGCACAGAGGTTTGCAGGAATTGTAACAGATAGTTTTGCCCTTAGCATGTATAGTTCTATAAGTTCACAGAGAAAGAAAATTCATCAGAATTTTCTTCCTTATTATGATAAAGTCCAAGCAAACTTAGCCCATTTCACCCACTAAAGGATGCTCTTCCTCCATGAGTACAACAGGTTGCCATATGGATCTGTTCCAGCATCGAGCCTTTTCAGACATGGATGTGGCCAGAGTGGTCTCCCCAGATGCTTTTGTGTGTCGAACCATCTGCACTTACCACCCCAACTGCCTCTTCTTTACATTCTATACGAACGCGTGGAGTGTAGAGTCACAAAGGTGAGTGTGGCGGGCAGCCCACGCTGCTGTCCGCTCAGCCATCTTACATCCTTGTCTGAGTTTTGAAAATGTTTTATTTATCTTCCCCCAAACCCTAGCAGCTGCAGTTTAAGGATGCAATTTTCTGCCAGACTCAATTTAGTGGATATGCTATGCTGTATCCTGTTTTACATAAAATAAATATGAATCACTGTGAAACTATGAAACAAAAAAAGAGGAATTTGACACCCTTCTTCCTGGTATTTATGGGTTGGATCAGGTGAAAACTACTCTACTCACCTGCAATATATCCTTTCAGATTTTTTTTTGTCTAGAAATTAGATTCTTGTGTGTCCTGATTTAAGTTCTGATCTGACCTCTTTAGCGTTAAGTAATTAATCCTTTAAAAAATATATATACAGGACTTGGAATGTGGCTTAGTGGTAGAGTTCTTGCTTCGCATGCATGAAGCCCTGGGTTCAATTCCTCAGTACCACATAAACATAAAAAGCCGGAGGTAGTGCTCAAGTAGTAGAGTGCTTGCCTTGAGCAAAAGAAGCTCAGGACAGTGCCCAGGCCCTGAGTTCAAGCCCAAGGACTGGAAAAAAATAAAGTAAAAAAATATACAAATGGGCCCAACAGACAGCATGTATTTTATAAGAAAAGCAAAAATCCCAATATTTCATCCTTTGATTTTCTTTTTTTTTTTCACTTAGAAAGTAGAACTCTGCCACTATTTAGAAAGTAGAATTCTACAATTATCTTCTTTTGATATGTTATTAGTTTTCACCAGACAGAACTGTGGCTTGGTTTACATGTATACATTATAATTTATTAGAATCCTACAGTCTAGCTTACTTTGTCGAGATTCTCAATAAAATAAAACATTCAGAGTTGCTTTTTAAAAATATAGAGAGGGGCTGGGAAGGTGGCTCAGTGGTAGAGCTCTTGCCTTGCATGCTCGAGGCCCTGGGTTCGATTCCTCAGCACCACATAAGCAAAAAGAAAAAAGCTGGAAGTGGTGCAGTGGCTCAAGTGGTAGAGCGCTAGCCTTGAGCTGAAGAGCTGAGGGACAGCGCCCAGGCCCAGAGTTCAGGCCCCACGACCAGACCCCCCCCCCAAAAAATAGAGAGAGACAGCTTTAGTATTTTGTATTAATGTAGCTTTCTTTTTGTTTCTCATACTTTTTATTATATAGAAATGCATGTTATCTTAAGACTTCTAAAAGTGGTACCCCAAGTCCCTCTATTCAAGAAAACACTATATCTGGACACAGCCTGGCCACTTGCAGGAAGACATTGCCCGGTAAGGAGAGTCGGTGATGGTACTAGATGACTGGCAGATACGAAGATTATTTTCCCCCTAAGTGCAAGTGGTCTAGCAGTCTTCAGGGCACTAGAACTATGTGATCATGTGGTTTATTGTTTGGTGATTGTGATTGTTTTGTAACTTTTTCTGTTGTTACTTGATATAGAACCCTGCCATTCCAAAATCTACTCTGGAGTCGACTTCAGAGGAGATGAGCTGAATGTGACTTTTGAGGAAGAAGCTACTGCTTGCCAGGACACTTGCACAAAGATAATTCGCTGTCAGTTTTTTACTTTCTCATCCCTCCCAGAAGACTGCAAAGGAGAGAAGTAAGGGGAAATGTATTTGGTGACTGGCAAGGTATTTCTCACCATTTCTTTCTCTGAAGGTTTACTCTTTGTATGGTTCCTTTGATGCAGGTGTAAATGTTCCCTAAGGTTCTCACTGGATGGCAACCCAGCTAGGATCACATCTGGGCCCCACTGGAGCTCTGGCTATTCTCTGAGACTGTGCAAAACGGGGGACGGCTCTGGTGAGTCTTTGAAGCCCTTGTCCAGGGATAGCTGGGTTATTGCATTGGGTGACTTCGTCTTCAGGACAGCATTGGGTATCTCGTTTTCCTCCACTCTGATTTCTCCCAGCTCTGACCCTGTGCTGCAAACCCTCTCGTTTTAGTCTGCACGACAAAAACAAATGCACGCATTGTGGGGGGAACAAACTCTTCTTTGGGAGAGTGGCCCTGGCAGGTGAGCCTGCAAGTCAAGCTGACATCGCGAAACCACGTGTGTGGTGGGTCCATCATCGGAGAGCAATGGGTCCTGACTGCTGCCCATTGCTTTGATTTGTAAGTTTATAGAAGGGGATCTTGTCTGTTTGTCTTGAAGAATCAAATCTATAGTCAGTTTCTCCAAGATCAGATGACTTTATTTTTAAAATTTTTAATTTTATTTTTATTGAAAAGGTGATGAGCTGGAGGGTTATGGTTACATGGGTAAGGCAATAAGTACATTTGTTTTTAATCATTTTTACCCTGTTCCTCTTTGCCCACTTTATTAATAGAATAATTATTTGCTTGCTAAAAACTATCTTATTTAAATTTTATTCTGGGGGGTAAGGGGGCTTGAACACAAAGCCCTGGCTGCCTTGCAAGGCAAGTGTTCTACTACTTAAGCCATACACCCAGCTCTTTATGTGTTAGCTTATTTTTCAGGTAGGGTCTCACTAGATCCAAGGACCAGCCTTGGACTGCAGACCTTGTATATAGCTGTGGTTACAGGCATGGACCGCCACACTCAGACTCTAAATTGACTCTTTAAGCAATAAATAAGATTATAAAAATTGCATATAATTATAGGGATCCATATGATGTTTTGATACATGCTTATTATGTGATCGTATGTGTGTGTGTGCGCGCGCACGTGCATGTGTGTATGTGTGTATGTATGTTCACCCAAGTAAAAAAAACCTCAGGGGCAGTCCTCAGATGCTGAGGCTTGAGGTTCTACCACTTAAACCACAGCTCTACTTCTAGATTTTTTTTTGGTAGTTAGCTGACAATAAGAGTCTCACAGACTTTTCTGCCCATTCTGGCTTTGAACTGTGATCATCAGATCTTAGTCTCCTGAATAGCTAGGATTATAGGTATGAGCCACTGGTGCCTGGCTGTTGTGAGATATTTAAGTCAGAGCAAATCTATTTATCTCCTCAAACATTTATTTTTTCTTCATGGTGAGCCCACAGAAATATTCTCGACTAGATTTTTTGAAATATACAGTATACTATCATGCAACAATTCCCAAAGACTTTTTACTATTATCTAGATGTTACTTAATAGTTGTTGTTAAATCTGTCCCTGTCCTTGATGCTCTTTTATTCTCCTCTGATCCTGGAAACTGCCATTGAGCTCTCAAGTACTATGAGATAAACTTTAAAAAATCCACATAGAAGTCAGTTCTTCTAGTATTTGACTTTTGTTCCTGGCTTCTTTCACTCAGCATGATATTCTTTAGTTCTATCCACGTTAACACAGATGACAATTTATCCTTTACTGTGGCTAAATTGTATTCCATTGTGTTGTTGCATAGTATTATCTTATTCACTGACCAGTTGTTGGATAGTTGGGCTCCCCCCCCAGGTTTTAACATAATATACAAGTCCTTTTCCTCCACAACCTTCCCAACACTTGTTACTTTTGACTTTTTGTAGCAGCCATTCTTAGTGGAACAAGTGGATGTGATTTGTATATCCCTGACATTAGTGATATCAAAGACATTTTAAGGAGAGATGATATTCAAAATATTTAGCAGAATGTAGGGGCCTAACCAGTCCAGGCCATCAGAACACAGTGTGTGGCCAATTTGCACTATTTTATTGGACAGAGAGTATAATATGTCAAATTTTGAAGTTTAAAACACTGAAACTTTGTAGTTTGTGAGTCACAGCGCCACCAGTTATTACAATGGTGGTTTGGGGCAATTCACAAACCTTTTGAGGATTTAAAAAATTTTTTTAATCTAATATTTTTCCTGTCTGGGGGCTTGAATTCTGGGCCTTGAAGCTGGCTCTGTGTTTTTTGTGCTCAAGGCTATTGCTTTACCTCTTGAGCCACAGCTCCACTTCTGGATTTTTATAGTAAATTGGACAGAAGAGTCTCATGGACTTTTCTGTTCAGGTTGGCTTCAAACCACAATCCTCAGATATCAGCCTTCTGAGTAGCTAGGATTACAAGTGTGAGTATCTAATTTATGATGTTGTTAGAATAATTAAATGACATTTGAACATTTAATATCATAGTTGAAATATAACAATTGCTCAGAAAATATTAAGTTAACATATACTGCATTCCATAAGAATTATAGAAATGGACAAAACTTATGAATAAGCTAAAGAGATACCAAGATGTACTTGGGATCTCCCCAAAATAAATACAAATCATTTTTTTCATGCTTTAATTTTTTTTATTGTGAAAAAACTGTACAGAGTGGTTTGGAATTCTATGCCTCCATCAGAAAGAATGACATTGCCCCATTTGTTATGAAATGGAAAGACTTGGAAAAAATTATATTAAGTGAAGTAAGCCAGGCCCAAAGAAACATAGGTCCCATGGTTTTCCTTATTTGCAATATCTAGTATATGTCTGAGTCAAGCAGAAAAAGGTCAGATAAGTTGATGTTAGGGAAATGAACCCTAAGATATGTATTCAAAAACATTTTTATTTAGTGGAATTTTACCCTTCCCCTGCCCCAAAGGGTAAGGCCAGGAGCTGTGTATTAAAATCTACATACTGCCACAACTCCACAGCAGTCAGTGGCTTTGTGGAGGATAGCCTGGCCCCTATAGTTACCCGTGTGTGTGTGTGTGTGTGTGTGTGTGTGTGTGTGTGTGTGTGTGTGTGATGTCAATAAGTGACTTTGTGGAAGGAAGATGATTGACCCAGAAAAGAATGCTCTGAGCTGGGAACTAATCTTTGATTTTTCTAAGTGCACCAAAATTGGGATCAAGCACTTTCATTCTTGAAGGCTCTGTACTGTGTTTTAAGAGATTGTAGAGCTGGAATCATTGTGATATAATTTAAGAATTATAATATTTACACTAGATTTTTGCTGGTACCAGGGCTTGATCTGAGGACCTCATGCTCTTGCTCAGTTTTTTTCCCCATCTCACAGATGTTACTCTCCCACTTGAACTACACTTCTATTTCTAGCATTTTGCTGCTTATTGAGGAGTTTTGAGGATTTGTCTATCTCAGCTGGCCTGGAATCAGGATCCTCAGATCTCAGCCTCTTGAGTAGCTAGGATTACAGGCGTGATCCACCAGTGTCCAGTTTATAGGCACTTTTTTGTAAACAAAATGATCAGAGATCCAGTACTGTTGCTGTGGGTGATCACAATTTACCAGGAAGAGGAAATGGATCATATGTAGAATTTTCTTCCTTAGCCTTTTTTAAGAGAGGAAAGGAAAGGAAAAATGGAACAAGCAATAATCCTAGATCTCATCAGGCATTTATGTTTTTCTCTCCTAGGATGCCCCACATGGATGTTTGGCACATTTACGGTGGTCTTATAAACCTGTCTGAAATTACAAAAGAAACTCCTTTCTCACAAATAAAAGAACTTATTATTCACGAGAACTATAAAGTCTCAGAAGGAGGGCATGACATTGCCTTAATAAAACTGCAGGCTCCTTTGAATAATACTGGTATGCAACCTATTTAAGGAAATGCTATAAAGTGAATGACATTTGATTAAGTTAAGACATCAGCTTGAATGAGAGGCAAAATCTGCAGACGTTGCCTTTACTTCTTGCTTGGTGTCAAGTAGAAGTTGAGGACTACCAAGAAAATGACACTCCTGTGACATAAAAAAAAATCTTCTACTCAAGGAATAAGAAATGATCAGTGGTTTTTCCAGAGAGTAGCACAGATGAATAGATGTTGTTAAAATAGTAGGCTGAGTCAAGTTGGTGCCTCGTGCCTGTAATCCTCGCTATCTCCAGAGGCTGAGATCTGAAGATTGTGGCTCAAAGCCAGCCCAGGCAGGAAAGTCTGTGAGACTCTTATCCCCAATTAACAAGCAAAACAAACAAACAAACAAACAAACTGGAAAGTGGAGTTGTAACTCAAGTGGTAAAGAACTAGTTTTGAGAAAAAAAAAAAAGCAAAATGAAAATACCCAGATTCTGAGTTCAAGCTCTAGTACAGGCACAGGAAAAAAAATATAATAGTAGGCCAGTTAATATCCATGCCCAACCAAGAGCATTGGTCTTCTTTTGGTAAGAATCACCAGAATCATTGCTGGAATTTAGGGACACTGGGATGAAGAGAGTGTCAGGGAACAGCTGTTATTTTCCAGGATGAACTTCTGGAGAGAAAAGACAGATGCATGAGTAAGTTCTGGGGAGAAGGGAGCCTTATTGTTTTGGAGCGTCACTCTAGAGAAACTCAATGTGCGCTCACACAACCCAGTTTTTAAGGCCCATTAACAACTGTGACCACACACAACTGGCCTTCTGACTTATTCTTTAATATCCTCATGTCTAAAATGAAGGGAATCATTTCTTCTCTCCATTTGTTACAATAAGTAAGATAATAAGTAAAGGCACTTCATGGAACACTTCTGCTGTGACTGATTCATAACATATACTTAAAAAAAAAGGCAAGGCCTTACAACAGCATTTGACAGTAAATTTGGGTTCTGACTTTTGGTTTAACCAAGGAAATGTCCATAATATTTTTATGTCATGTGGGGGAGAAATTTTCTTGAATCACCAATTCAGAAGTTAAGCAGAGAGCAGAAGGCTCATTCTCAGTAGGAGTCTGTGGAAAGAACTTCTAGGGATAGTTAAAGGCGTGTTTTCAAAGTCAGTATCAGTAATGTCACTTAACCTAGTTTTAACATTATCTTTCAGAATTCCAAAAGCCAATATGTTTGCCTTCTAAAGCGGATATAAATACAATTTATACCAACTGTTGGGTGACAGGTTGGGGCTACACTAAGGAAAAAGGTACAGATTGACATTTTCTCTGTTTTTCTATTCTGACATGTTAAATCAGCTCCCATCTAAATTGATGTCCAAGTTTATGAGTTTTTTTTTGTGGTAGTATTGATATTTGAACTCAAGTTCTCACACTTTTGAATCAGGTGCTATACCACTTACACCACATGCCAACCCCTTCATGTTTTGCTATTTTTTTTTCTAATAGGGTCTTACGTTTTTTGCCCAGCTTCAGGTTACAGTCTTTGTACCTACAGCTTCCTGGGTAGTTGGGGATGACAAGCTTGTGCCACCATACCCAGCCTTTTTCTTGAGATGGGTCTTCCTAACTTTTGCCTGAGCTGGCCACAAACTGAGATTTTCCTTAGTTTTACTTCCAGAACACCCATGGTTATAGGTACGAGTCTCTGCACCAGGCCAAACTTTTAATTAATATATTCCCTAATATTTGTTCAGTGATTCCTGAGATATAGTTGGTTTTGACACTGAACATACAATGAGGTAATTTTTTTTAGCATCATCTTTCACAATGAAGATTATTTGTTTGACTTTGAGAAATTGGGCCTTTATATGATCAACAAGCCCACTTGGTCCTCAATATTACTATAGCTACAAATTAATATTAATTACTATTACTATCAATAGTAGTTATCATTAACAATTATGTGCTATTGATATTGATAGTGTTGTCGATAATGCTATTAATATTAAACACTATTAATATTAATTGCAATAGTAAAAGTAACTAATAATAATATTAAGAATAATTGATTTCTGCCTCCCCATTCTATGTTCTTCCTTGACATCAAATAGATAGTTGTATAGACCGGCAGACACATAATCTCTTTTTAAGGCCAGTTCTTAATGTTTTTACATTCATTTGTTTCAGGATCTGGTGATGCTTGTGACATTTTCTCTAATGCTTTTAAAGCTTACATCAAGCACATAGGTTTATGAAGAAAACCAATTTGATTGCAATAAAGCTAAAAGGATAGGTATAATGATAGATGTGCATCTATATTAATATATTAAATAGTTGTTTTAATAACTACCATAATTTGGAAACTATGATGTACAAGTGTTATTTTCATATTTTTCCATATACGCCCACCACTACTGTAATGCAATATGAACATAGTTATAATCTTGGTCTAGGACTAGATAAAAGCTGCAGCTACTGGTTAGAACATCCAGATGATCATACTGGAGGCAATGCATGCCCTCCGAGGGGCTTAGACTAAGATGAGAGGATGGTACAGGCTGAGACACAGTCTCTGGTCAGCCTAGGTTATGGGATTGTTGAAACTGTCTCTGTGTTTCTCTCATTCCTGTTCCTCTCTCTCTTTCTTTCTCCAGTTCTCTCCCTGCCTGTCTCTCTCAGACTCTCTTGTTATCTTTCTGTGTCTTCCTTTGTCTGACTGACTATCTCTCCCCCCCTCTCTCCAGATCTTTCTCTGTCTCTCTGCCTGTCTCTGTCTGTCTTTATCTGCATATGTGAGAGATATTTATTAGCTGTCTCTGTCTGTCTTTATCTGCATATGTGAGAGATATTCATTAGCTGTTCACATATATACATACATATACATGTATACATATATATACACATATACACCAGCATATAAGCATATAAATGCATACATGCATGCATATGTATACACACATACATATATAAACATACATATACACACGCATATATATGTATGACCCTACTGAGAAATGCATCACATGATTTGTTATAAGATTTTAGGTGCCATGTTTATTGTATTCCTCCCTTTGAACTTGTATATTGGTTGCTTCATAGATGAAATCCAAAATACTCTACAAAAGGCAAGTCTCCCTTTGGTAACAAATGAAGAATGCCAGAAAAGATATAGAGATTATACCATCACCAAACAGATGATCTGTGCTGGCTACAAAGAAGGGGGGAAAGATGCTTGCAAGGTAACACATTTCATTATGAAACAATGCACAATACTCTGCTAGAGATAACTAATGTCAAAAATAGTTTTCAGTAATGTGTTTCATTGCATTTAAAATTTCAGACGGAAATTATCTGTTGATTTTATACACACCATCTAACATATATAATGTGCTCCACATATTGTTTATGATCCATATGTCACAGTCGGTGCAGGTGAATGCTGTAATTCAGAATAACAATGATATGTACTGTAATTATACTAAAATATAAGAACATACAAGTTCTTTGACTCAAGAATAAAGAAGTCAAAATTTCTTAGCTGCTTCTACTTATGGATGGAAGCTGGAATACACGGAAAATGCAATCATTTTTGTCAATTTCGTCACATGCAACGATCGGTGGGAATGGAGATGCTTGTGTGTGTTGTGCGTGCTGTGTGAGATGTTGTTGTACCTCTGATATCACCTTCACTCATTGTATTTTTAAACCCACTGTGACCCAGGGTGATTCCGGTGGCCCTTTAGTTTGTAAGCACAATGGAGTGTGGCAGTTGGTTGGCATCACCAGTTGGGGTGAAGGCTGTGCCCGCAAGGAACAACCAGGTGTCTATACCAAAGTTGCTGAGTACGTGGACTGGATTTTGGAGAAGACCCAGAATGGCAGTGGAGATGCATCAATGACATCACCATGAAGAGCAAGGGTTCAAGCCCAACTCTGAGCCTTGAGCTCCTTGCCTGCAAATGCACAGTAGCATCTACCTCACCTTGTCACAAATCAGAAGAACACAATGAATACACAGCTGCTGGGGACATTGTCTCATGACACTATCTTGCCCAAACATGCTTTGAAAATTTAGTCACAGAAGCTTCTATGGGGAGATGACTGAAGAGCTTCATGTTTTGTTTTTTGTTGTCGTTGTTGTTTTTTGAAATAAAATGTCCAATGAATGTGAGTAGATAATGTCTTCTTATAGCTATGAAACGGAACTGAAAATAAGTTGCTTGAGATTCTCTCACAGTGACTGGGATCTTTGCCACTTACTGTTTCCCTTGAAACTCTGTACCTCTTAGTGGCCACTTCTCTAAGCCTCAGACTTCATCAATTATTTTGAATTATTCTCTAAACCAAGCACTGCTACACTGGGGGTAAAGAGTGGGAAAGCCTGAGCTTCATTTCACCCAGGGCAAAGAGTTCTGTGTAACATTCCACTTTGCAATAAAAAGAGGAGTTATCTGCATGTGGGGAAACAGAGCACTATTCTATGTCAGTCTCTTCTTACCTTTGTGAGCTGGGCATTAAAACTTGGTCCAGGCTAGATATGCAGATAAGGCTTACAGAGCTACATTTTCCTGGTTATAGTTTCAGAAAGAGCCTGGATGGAGGGCAAGAATTTTGCTTTGAAAAGAATGTTAACCCTGAGAGTTTAGTGGAAATTGAGTTCTGCAACCTAATTAAAAATGCATCATTAGGTGTAAAGTTTTGCATAAAACAAAGACTTGTACATTCATAGTGATATTGAGTAACCTTAAATTGCATTATATAAATCCTTATGTAACATACATTCCAAAGTTGCCAGTGATTACTACAGATAATTGTTGGTAGCTTGATTTGGTTCAGATACATGGATTATTATTGACCCCAAATAGGCCATTTACAAAATATTCTGAAAGCAGAAAAACAGAAAAGTGAACATTTCTACAGGAGATTCAATTTTTCCTTCCATATTCAAAGGCATGGTACATGGTAGATACACCTGAAGATGGAGTAGCTGAAGAAAACCACGAGTTCCTGGTTATGTGTAGGCTGTGTGGTAAGAAAACAAGAGTTAAGAATTTGGCAACAATATTAAGTGAAGTAAGCCAGGCCCAAAGAAACATAGGTCCCATGGTTTCCATTATTTGCAATAACTAGTATATGTCTGAGATAAGAAGAAATGGTCAGATAAGTTGATGTTAGGTGAAATGAACCACGAGGTAAGGACACAAGTTGTTTTTTTCTTGTTATTGTTTCTAACATATTTATAAGATGATTTCTTTGTTGCTTTGTATGTCCCTCCCCCATGGTATAACCCCTGTTTTCACCGTATTTGATGTTGGTATAATTTGTGGAGGGGAAGGGACAAAACAAATAGTTTAAATAGGGATACAGGTAGACCCATTGCAACAATGAGATGTATAAGACATTATGTTGAAAAATGAATTTTACAACTTTTGTGGAGGTGGGAGGGAAGGGATGGTAGGGGAAAAACAAAGGAGGAGGCAACAATGCTGGATAAGAAATGTACTCATTATCTTGCTCATGTAATTGTAACCCTTCTGTATGGTATTTTCACAATAAAAAAGAGATTTGGCCACAAACAAATAGCTCTTATAAAACCTGGTAGATGGCAGCTATTTATTTTATTTTATTTCATTTTTTAAACTTTTATTTTATTATTAAGATGTTGTACAGAGGGGTTACAGTTACATGAGTAAGGCAATGAGTACATTTCTTGTCCATCATTGTTAGCCCTTCCTTTCTGTGTTGTTATCCCACTAACCCTTCCATCCCCTACCTCCCACACTCCTTTCCTCCCCCTATCCCCCCTCCCGAAGTTGTAAAATTTGCTTCCAATATACTGTCCTGTGGGTATCCTTGTTGCAATGGGTCATCCTGTGTCCTTGTTTCAGCATTTTGTTATTCCCCTTCCCTTCTCCAGATTAGACATATGTATATACACCAAGATGCAGGGTACCAAAATCAAGTACAGTGACAACAGCGGATATGCCATAGGGGAAAGAACATAGAAAGGAAACAACAACAACAACAAAATCACCTGGCACATTTAAAACAATAACAATAAAGACAGACCACTTGTGTCCATGTCTTGGGGTTCATTTCACTTAGCATTATCTTATATGATCATTTTTGAGCTTTTCAGCTCATCGGATAAGATTATCCTATAAGTATACTAATTATTGCAAATAAGGGAATCCATGGGACCTAAATTTCTTTGGGACTCGCTAACTACACTTAATATGATTTTTTTCCAAGTCTTTCCATTTCTTAACAAATGGGCGGTGTTGTTCTTTCTGATGGAAGCATAGAATT